TCATCGATTAATCAAACACACAGAACACTCGCCAAGAAATACTCAGAAATAATGGTTTCAAACAATTTTGAAACATGGAATATAATGTCATTAGTTCAATAAATGAAATAAACTCGTAGATAAGGATTTACTCACGCGTTCGTCCATGAATATTATCTCGATTGAATTTGCCACCTTGTCATCATTGTACACCGGCAACGTATATAGTAGCATCACACGAATCAAAACACTCCAACATTCAATGGTCGGATTGATCTTCTACAAAGGGTGAATAGTTTTGGAAGAACATTCACTTTCACGACGTGAACTCTATCTGAATTCGTAAAAACCTATAGAATAATCAATAACAAAATTTTGCCTACCCATTCCAATTCAATTCAATCAATATTCAGAGAAATAATTGCAGCAATTGACATACAATTTTGCGTTGATGGATTGCCAGCAACAGGTTTCTCAAATAAGTCTGGTTCAATCAAATGGTAAGGTAATCTCCCCTGGACGAAACTATCCAAAAAACACAATTTCATAACAATAAATTCGACATTTCATTTCTAAAAAAACTGCAATTCTTACTCGAAAAAATAATGCAAAAAAAAATAAAAATAAAAATATTTTCTCCTCACCTGTGATATTCATCAGCATCAATATCATGCCATAACGCCTGAAATGCAAAGCATTTTATTTTTTCAAAAAAAAATAGAAATGAAAAGATACATTTAAAATCAAACAATTTCAAATCTAGGACAAAGAGAGTGTTATAATTGTACTTGTAAACCGGCGAGAGAGCTCCCTTATTTTCTGAAGAACTCGATTCGCAAAGCAGAAGCTTTGGATTGATCTTCTCAATCAAGCAAAGAAATATGGTATCAGCACAACTTGCAAATCGAGAATAAATTGCTGAAAGTTTATAATTTGATTTATAGATGATCCAAATTATGATAGTCTTTCCTCAATTAATAAGAAAATCATTTTACTCAAACTTCAAAAAACATCCAATCCTTCCTCAATTAGATCAACGAAATAGGCTAGGCAAAGAATATTGGAAAGTGAAGCAATTTTACAAAAAAAAAAAATATCGCTAATAGCACGCTCCCTTAAACTTACCACATCAAGTGCCGCTAGACCTCCAATCACAGCTGATTTTCCGCTGGAAGGAGACGATTTGATGGAGAGGAATTTGCCGCACACGAGCTCACCGATCGATTCCTAGAAGGAAAAGAGCGTAGAAGGGAAGTGTTCTACAGTTCTACGTATATACTCCGGTCAACTTAATTACCCATTTATGAACCGATGACATGTTCAGAATATGTGGCTGATGACATGTTTAAAAAATATCTCGTAAGCACGCCACATGTCGTGATTTTAGAAACTCAACTCACAAATATTATATATAAAGGATTTTGATTTGAAAATTTATATTTTCCCGCACATGGCACATGGTGTGCATTAGCAGCTAGTACTCCCTCCTTTCTACAAAATGCCTTCTCTTCCATTTATTCTCTTTCATTAAGACACTTTCACTTTATATTTAAAAATAACTTTTGTTCACATTTAAGAATCTATTACATTATACTTTATTCTAATAATTATCCATCACATCTTATTTTTATCACATCTTAATTTTATCTATCACTTTACAAGTGAACATTTAACACTTTTTTTCCTACTTGATTAAAATTGAAATTATTTTCGAGAAAGAGGAGTATTAAACTACTAGTCGTAGAACTTTGGAGACAGCCGGGTGTGTCGCACATGTGGGGCAGGGAATGTGAGGTAGCCACGTTGATGAGGTACGCGAGAAATTCCCAAAATACCCCTTCAATAAAACCAAAACGTTTTTCTCACCTGTCTGGTCTCAATCAAAATACGGAGTTGTACTAACCACTACTACTAATCCCTATCCAGAAGGGCCATATCGTAATTCCACCAATCTCCCCGCATCGGTCAACGGGTCTCGAGATGTGCTTTTACCGAAACACCCCGCCACCACTTCTGGTATTATTATCCTTTCCCCCCTCTTCCACCATCACCGATCTCCACCCAATTTCAAAACTCACAGAGCAGAAGAAATTGAAATATTTGGGCAAACAAAAAAGGAAAAATCAGTTGAAAAAAAAGGAAGCCCAAATATTTATATATATAAATATATAAATTAAATTGAAGGGAAAATGGAGCATCCGTTCTTCATGACGAACCCTAACCTGACGGAGGCGGCGCTGCGGTGGCTGAGCATCGCCGAGAAGCTGCTGGCGAACCGCGATTTGATGGGGAGTAAGTCGTTTGCGACCCGGGCGCAAGAGTCCGACCCGACCCTGGTCCACGGCGGCCAAATCCTGGCAATCATCGACACTCTCCTCGCCGGCGACAAGCTGATAAACAATCAGCTCGATTACTACGGCATCCTCCAAGTCCCGCATGACCAGACCCATGACTCGGACTTGATTGCGAATCAGTACCAGAGACTCGGCGTCCTCCTCAACCCTCGGAAGAACAACTTTCCGTACGCCGATCAAGCTTTCCGGCTCGTGACGGATGCCTGGGCTGTACTCTCCGACCCCTTCAAGAAAAGCGTGTATGATAAGGAGCTAGGGTTCTTCATAAACCTCAACCCTTACCCGGTTGCTTCCGCTCCTAACCCTATCCCCCCTCCGCCACAGCAGCAGCAGCAGATGTTCTTCGCGAATCGCGAGCAGCATCAGCAGCAGCAGCAGTTTACCCCTGGTCAACCGTTGACCTTTCTGAATCGCGAGCCGGTTCAGCAACAACAGGTTCATCAACAGCAGGTTCAAACAATGTCCTTCTTGCAGCAGCCGTTTACAGGCATGGATCAGCAGCAATCGCAATCTCAGCCAATCACATTTCTCAGTCAGCAACAACAGCCTCAGGTAACCTCAGTGCCCAGCTTGAATGTAGACCAATTGCCTGCGGTGACTTCTATGCCCAGTTCGACTAGAGAGCCACAACCATTTACATTTGGTCCAAGTTTAGGTCGAGCCCAACAACAACCACCACCACCACCACTACCACAGGTCCCTCCCACCGAGACCCCCACCGTGTATCAACAAAGGAATGAGCAAAATGAGGGTCTTGGAGGAAATAATCAGTCTGATGAGAATATGAGCCAGCCTAGAGATAAGGAGAGTGAAGTAGATGAAGCAAATGATGTTGATCCAAAGGAGGATGAGCCAAAGAATGACATCCCCAGCTTCTGGACTGCCTGCCCATATTGTTACCACATGTTTGAGTACCCTGAGGTTTATGTTGATTGTACTTTGAGGTGCCAAAATTGCAGAATGGCATTCCAAGCCGTAGTGATTTCGTCTCCACCCCCAATTCTTGATGGGAAAGAAGCTTATTTTTGTTGTTGGGGCTTTTTACCCTTGGGGTTTTCCGTATCAATTTGGGAAAAGTATAGGGATCAGGCAACATCTTGGACACCCTTTTCTCCCATGTTTAGTACTCCTCAAACTGGTGGGGGGAATGCATATCATTCTGTTGGCAGGCAGGAGAATGTTAAAAGCTATAGGGGTCAGGGTTTTGGTGGAGTGAGGAGGTCAGCCCCAAAAGTTATTGTTGATGACGATGTGTATGTAGACTTATTATCAGAGTCTAGTGATGAGTCAGATGATGATTGGAAGAAAGGGTATCAGTATAAGAAGAAAAATAAAACAAAGAGAGTGAAGAGAAAGGGGGGCATGACAGGTACTCTGAATAGAAATGGTATGAAACTGAAATCTGATAATGGAAAGAATGCCAAAGCTAATAAGGCTGGGGATAATTCTCAAGAAGGTGTTACCATGCAAAACGGGTCACACATGCCAGCGGAAATGGTCAAGAAAGGCACGTTGAGCAGCACAAGGAGGCAATCAGGGAACCCTGCCAATGGGAAATTGGATTTGAATGTGGAGTTCAGCAACGAGGGCGAGGAGCCTCCGCCGATTATAAATGGACAAACAGGAAGGGGAGAGGATGATGTGATTGAGGGGAATGGGTTTTTTGAGGGTCTTGATGAATTCCTGAGCAGTCTTCCTATTCTGAATGCTGTTGGTGACGAAAAGGTTAAGGCTGCCTAGCAAAGTTAGACCTTTGCGCTTGTTGTAATTGTAGCTCTCTAGTTTAGCTTTTGCCTTTTTTGTATGTTGTAAAGAACAACGTAGAGCTACTTCGGTAATGGCCTTATGTTTTCTCCATGGTTGCTCTACTCTAAGCTTTTGCATTTTGTATGTTTCTAGTAAGGAACAGTGTAGTAGAGCTACTTGGATACCTTTCTTGATGGTTTTCCTCCTTCAGGTTTTATGTAGCAAATAAGGTGGCAGTGAATCTTCCTAATTCTATTGGAATGATCAGTTTGATACTACTTCTGTTCTGTTTACGCACAAGCTGCAAAACAGATAAAGCTAGCAGTTTGCAGTGGTTTTGTTTCTTACAAGACCCAAACTGTTCTGCTTACTTAAATTTCCAATTTGCTTCTGTGACTAAATGGAACTACATTGCTTTCCTGCATTTATGCTTGCAGGAATATATTGACCAGCCACTGAGTCCTGAATAACCATCTTCTTTAGCTGTAAGTACATGTTATTCAACCCCATGTTTGGTAGAGCAACTTATATGCATATCTTTGTGTTCCGTAGATAGAAGATTGGATTTTGCTCCTGCCTTCTATACCTAATATGCTTTCGTTCTTGTTAGATTAGAAATATTACTCTAAAATATCTAATGTATTCTTGTAATTCCTTGTTATGATTTTTTAAAATGAAAATATTGGTGACATTATTCTGTGTTTATGACAATATCTTAGTGTAGCCATGGTGTAAAATCAAATATTTGGGTGATGTTGGTGCCTGATTCATTTTCTTCTTTGAATTCAATTGTCATTCAACAGAGCAACAAACAGTGTTGTCAATGTGTTTTCTAAGCTGTACATGTCATTGGTGACGAATTGGTGTCATTATAGATTTAGTCTAAGCTATAAAAATTGTCATAATGTGTATTAGCTCCATTGGCATTGGAACACTAAGCAATGGACGCTACCTTCTGAAAACCCATATTTTATGGTTTTGAGAAATTACATGAATATTTAACCAAATTTTCTGAAACATGACTTACTATTAGTTAACAACATTCATGCAAACTTTTTGATTTACCTTAATTAGCTTCGATTGTACACGCCTTTCATCTTTGGTCTTATATTTCTGTTTCTGCTGACTATATGTTGCCAACACTGCATGTCTATTGTATATGCACTTCTTTCTATTCTTTCTCTCAAGTAGGGGCCAGGTCTGTGTATGCCCACCCTCCCCAGATCCTACTTTCGCAGGATAATACTGGGTTGTTGTTGCTGTTGTAAATTGAAACGTGGGTTTCGAACTTTTCTTTCTGCATCCCATTTTTTCATGTCGGTTTGAATGACTCTTTTCGGGTCATGTGTTAGATTCCAGATGAGCATTTGAGTCAAAGATTTGAAGCCATCAGCCCATCACATACAACTCTTTTGCTATTACTGGTTTCACTTTCAAATATCATGGTTGTATACTTTGCTTTGTGCAGTTCTTGTTCATATTTCTCTGTTACAGCAATGCCGGGTTGGTATATCAGGTTAGTGATAATCTGAAATTCTGAAGTAGGATTGAAATTACTGAAGATGTTCTTCTTTCTTGCCAAGAGTGAGTAAATTTGGGCAGAAACATGATTGTTTTTAGCTAGTTACAAAATTTAGTGTTATTTGTTAGCTAGTGACAGCAGAATGTGAAGCAAAATCAATTGGTTTTTATAGTTAGGGGGTGATTGGGACTGATTTTGAAAATGATTTTCAGTTTTTGCTTTGAATGAAAGCAGTTTGAAATGTTTGGAGGTGCTTTTAGATTCTGTTGTCAAAATAGTCACTTTATAAAAACACCCAAACACACTCTTAGTTGACATTGTTGCAAGTGATATAACTTTGGCCCTTCCTAAGTTATATTGCCTTGTTCCAATTTGTTTGTGTTTGTTTTTATTTATAGAAAGTATTATGTGGTTGGACTGACTTTACTTGTTTGACTGGTTAAATCCATTGAGACATGGCCCAATTTGGTAAGTAGTTACTATTTTGAATTAGTTTTGTTTAGTTCAAAAAAGGGTGAAAAAGGTACTAAAAGGGACTTTTTCTTGCCAATCTGAGTTTTAGCCCCATTTGCTGGTAGTGTTTGATGACTTTGTATTTTCCAAGTTTGCACCTCTCAATATGCCATTACAACTTGACTTCTTTTTTGGTCAAGTCTTGCTTTTTTTTCCTTTTCTCTTTGATGAAATTATATGCAAGTATTTGATCTACACTTTGAGCTAACAATCTATCTGGTGAGTCAAAATCTCATATTTTACGATATACTGAATAATATAGTTCATCCGTCCAGATATAAACACTTTTTTTGTTTTTGTTTGTTCAAAATTACTTCGTAGTTTATGTTCTATCATACAGAATATTAAAAAAAAACTGAGGCTTCCAATCCAATGTCATGAGATGACATTGGTCCCATTTGGGGCACTTACAATGTCAATTCGTAATAAAATTAATGATTTCTACCTCTTAATTCTCCAGAATCCCCCCCCCTCGTTTGACCCCAATCTAATCATTGCCCCCCTTCAATTGCTAAGGTAGCATTTGGCTAAAAATTGATGATAACTCATGGAGATTTGATTATTTCAAATGATGATTTTTTTATGTAAAAAAAAGAAGAAAATTAGGTTGAAAGTGTAAGGATGATGACTAATAAAGAAAATATGTGAAATGGTATAGGTTGTGTTTAGATAACTTGTGCTAAGAACATATATTATATATGTCATTGTTAATTAGAAAAACGTTTGCTTCGTAGATCAATACTACTTTTACTAACAACCAAAAAGTCTTCTATATAAACTTAATGTTGTGTTATATTCCATAAGACATCAATTTTTATTAAGGATGGCTATACCCTTAAACTCAAAACTTTTCTTGTTTTGCGCAATAATCAATTTCACACCAATCGACCAAAACAGAATTCATGTAAAGGGCCAAAATCTAGTGGAGGTTCCCGAAAGGCCTATGTTACCAGGGCCTGTACTTGAAGTGCCTGAATTTCCAAAGCCAGAGATTCCTGGATTTCTAAAACCGCAGTTGCCAAGAACACCAAAGCGTGAAAGACCAACATTTCCAAAACCCGATGAGCCTGGAATCCCTAAAACATTAATTTCAAGACTGTTGACGCCTGAATTTTCAACTTTTCAAAAGTCTGATCCTAAAGTACAAGGAAAGTGATGAGCTGGTGTCACTTTTCACTTGGGTCAACAACCGAATTATATTTGTTTTTTCACTTTTTTTTTTCTATTCTTAGAAGACATGAATGTATGATGTCGTGATGTTGTGTTTACTGTTAATTAAATTATAACTTCTCGTTTTTAATTATTTTAACTTTTTTAAAAAAGAGTTTGTAAATCTTTACAAAATCAGATTGAATAAAAATAATTTGGAATAGGTTAAATTTACATCATTTTTCTATACATAAATTTAAAGTGAACTAATTAGTTTGAGAGTAGACATGATTAATGGTCGGACCGGGCCAACCACTGGATAACTAAAATTTTGAAGCCTTTACCTGGCCCGCATCACAGTCCTATATTTCAAGCTCAAGTTTGGCCGATATGAAAATTTATGGGTTTTGGGTCGGCCCAGCCTGCAAAACTTATCGGCTGAAGTTTAAAGATAAAGAATAAAATTTTATCTTACAAAATAAAAAAGTATGGAGTACAACAATGTCATGCCAATTATAAAATACTTCATAAAAACTTAGCGAAAAAACATACTACCAAATAATTTTAGATTTTAAATGCCCCTTAAACCTTACAAAAAAATGTTAGCACTGGTTTGTTAAATCTTATGTTTTGATGTTAACAAACAATTTAGGTGTTTGCGTGTTTTAGAAACAACAAAAATCCATTAACTAACGCTTCTCAAGAACAAAGTCATAACAACAAGCTAGCGTAGAATATTTAGGTAGAATTAAATGTAAGAATGTGATATTATGTGCCTATATTCACAAGCTCAAAATGCACTCACAAACATGTTTAAAATCACCTTATAAGATCTTTTAAATATGTAAAAGGTTTTAAACAAAATTGAAAAGGACTTGAGCAAGAATAGAAAAATCCAAACAAAGTGACCCAAGATATCGCTACTGTCAATAGGGACCTCACTAACATGACATTACCGTGAGCTGGGAATTTCTACCGGCCGTGATCATAGTTTTCCTACACAAATATGCCTATGAGGGTACTGTGTAAAAAATATATCATCCGTCGGGAGCTACGGCTACGAATCCATTGTGAGATTTTTTTAAAATACTAATTTTGCGTTAACAATGTTTAGTGACTCCAAAACCTTCCAAATCAAGCTTCAACAAAACCTAAACGGTCACTAATCTTTTCCCACTATAAATATGACCTTAATCCTACTTTTTCAATCCTCAACTCAAGCTCTAATCTCTCATTTCATACTCTAGAGTGTGTTGTTGGTCTTGTTCTTCATTTTTATTATTTTAACCATATAGAACTTTACTCTCTCCTATTTTTTATACACGCATACTAATCTTGTGATTATAAGTATAAACTCTTATATTCACATGTTGGTCTTGTATTTTTAGAGAGTATAAACTATTTAATGAAGTTTAAGAAGTCGTGTAAAATTGGTGTGTTCTTAGTGAATTTGGAAATCATTAAAGAAGATAGTTTTCTAAACAGTTAAAATTAGTGTATTCTTATTTTTATGCCATTATTTTTGCGTTATTTTCATTACATCCGCATTTCCCGAACACGGATTTTATTAAACCATGAAAATATATAAATGCTTATTCACCCCTTCTAAGGTGTTGGCACATAGACTAATTAAGTAGTGGGTATTAGAGTAAAGTCATAATTGAAAGTGTCTAATCGTATATACGATAAAGATCTACTTGTATCTATTTTTGGTTGAGTTTCAAGATTTCCATAATTTTTGTATCTTTGATTTTCAAATTCTTATTTTGAAAAATGATCTCAATGGGACCTCAAACCATTCACCACCCTCAATTTGGCCATAATTACTCGTATTAGAAGATGCAAATGAAATATTTTATACAATTCTTTGATTATAATTTATGAATAAACGTGTTTCACGACCATATGTGCTAAACATGGTAATTTTGTCAGATTAATTACAGACGACGAGATGTTATGAACGAATGTAAAAGTCGTTAATATCCTTCATTGCTCAGTCGGTCCCCGATGAATTTACACTGATGTGTTCATGCAAAACGACCAAAGAAGTATAGAACTTGCTCAAATCCACTCATGAGTATTACTTTTCTACCAAACAAACTATGGTCGTCCTTGAAAATTCTGAGTACAAATATTTGTGTGTGTGGGTGTATTTGTGTGTGTTGGGCTGGACCGCAAGCGGGCTCAAAAATCAAAGCTCATATCCAGCTCTTATCACCTTCGGGCCCTGCTAATTACAGGCCGTGCTGGCCCAGATAAAAAAATTAAGGTCGGAGGCTCGGAGCCCGTGTTCTTTCGGGCGGGGTCTGGCGGTCACATGATCACCACGTGTTTTGGTACATCTAGTTTCAGCGCCGGCGGCATTTCTCCCCTAAACCCTGAACCAGAGATCATCTGATCGACGACGACGACGACGACATGGGAGTTGAGAAGCAAATTCTGAGACAAGGAACCGGTCCGAAACCGATTCGCGGTCAGAACGTCACCGTCCACTGCACCGGATACGGTACGGATCATTATCCGTTTCCAATATATCAGCCATTTCTGATTCAGATGTTTTTCATATACTCCGTAAAAAATAGATTCCCACCATTGTAAAAAAAATCATTTTTACAGGAAAAAACGGCGATCTCTCCCAGAAATTCTGGAGGTAAGTCAACAGATCTTCGTTCTTCAGATCATCGGCACAGTTTATTTCCTTTGAAATTACGAGGTTGATAAAAAAGGTGGGATCTTTGAATGTTTTGTGGCTATATTTCTGTATTCATACTTGCAAATTTGATTGTCCGTATGTAACAGCACAAAAGATCCTGGACAGCAGCCTTTTTCCTTTAAAATTGGTCTAGGAAGTGTTATCAAAGGTACGTTCTGCTAAAGCAGGTCAAAGGGAATGAGTGTTTTCAAAAAATTGAAATTCTTGTTTTTGCATTTGTGGATAAGTGATTGTTTAAGTAAAGGCAAAAATCTCCCATTTTAAGGCTTTTGAATGTTTAGTGTTTATGAACCAAAACTGTTTTTGTACCCCAAAAAAAACCAAAACTGTTTAATTGTTTATTTTATGAGTAAAATAAAAGATTGACCCTGACTAGTAGAGTAGAAAAGATGTAAATTGGAACAATATTGGTTGCAAACACTCCCAAAGTAGCTAATGTGACTTTTTAGTGTAATGTTTTGTTCAATTTAGTGTTGGTACTTATATTTTTATTAATTTGTTCATGTAATTTAGACTTTGATTCAATTAATAACAATTGTTATTGCTAATACACTACCTAATTGTTTATTATGGATTTATGGGTATTATCTCATTTGTTAATCAAGCAAAAATATACGGAGTAGCATCTAGAGCAACAAGCTTAGTACTCAAACCTTACTTTTGTGGGATTCTACTAGGTTGTTATTGTAGCAACAGACCTAGTGAAATCCCACAATACAGTAGGGTATGATGATGATATGTGAACGCAAACCTTATCTATACTTAGGGAAATAGAGGGTCTGTTCCCAAAAGACCTCCGGCTCAACACAAGTGCACGAGTAATGTAAAAACAGTACTTGATCAAACACCAAAAGTTATCATGCACATACTACAAACTTAGGCATCAAGGAAAAAAACTACAGCCCAAATGCCTTTTTAGCTATTCAGATGCTAGCTCTCTAGGTACTCTTATGTAATACCATATTAAATTACTACGGAGTATTTAGGTGTTATTGTAAAAGAATCTGTTTGTAAATTTCGGCAAATACCACTCATTGTCTAGCATTTTTCCTGTCCAAGAGATACATAATGGTCAATGATGTGGATGAGGTGTATTTACCAAAATACCATTACACATTAGCACTTACATGGTACGTATTACTTAATAAAGGCAATACTTCATCCAAAATGATTTACACCTATAATAGGATTGATTCTCACCCAGTTCAGAAGAGAGAGGTTTCGGTAGATGGGGAGATAGATGGGGATGTTGTGCATTATATATGAGTCGTTCGGGCAAAGTAGAAGCTTGCTTTAGGGGTCCATTGTGACAAGAGGATTTAAACAAGGATGAAGGGGAAGTTCAACACCCTGTAGTCAAACCAACTATACTTTACGGAGCAAAGTGTTGGACAGTGAAGAAAGCTCATGTTCGTCAACTTCATGCAGCAGAGATGCGTATGCTGCAGTGGATGTGTGAGTGGACAAGGTTGGATGAGATTCGGAACAAAGTTATCCAAGGACGGGTAGCAATGGCTCATGTGGAGGATAAAGCGACGAAGTGTTGAGGCTCAGTGCGGAGGTGTGGGATGAATACAATAGTAGCCTAGTAGGCGCGGGTGTAGGAAGAGGTAGACCTAAGAAGAATTGGGACGGAGGGAGTATTATAAGGTGTTAAAGAGAACATTTGATGTAGCTTTTTAATACTCCCTCCGTCCACAAATAAACTTCCTGTTGCGTGTTGCGCGTTACGATGTTTAACTGAAGTTATTTTTAAATCATTTTATATGAAAAATGGTGTAAGATTTAAAAATAAAAATTACATATTAAAAACCTATATCAAAAGATCTACAAAACTAGAGGTGACATGACTATATTATTTTATCAAATGAGTGACGAAAATAGGCCAACAAAGTGAATACAGTTTGACCATGTAAATAGTGAACGTGAAGTTTATTTGTGGACGGAGGGAGTATGTAAATTGTACCTTTTATTTCTATACCAATTTAAAGATAAAATCATTTTTAAAAAGTACTTAGTAGGATTTTGCATGTTGTTCAAACAGTGTAAATGAATTTGGGATGGAGGGAGTATTATAAGGTGTTAGAGAGAACATGGTAGTTTGGTTTTAAGAAGTCTTTGAAAGTAGTCTGACATTCAATGAAAGCATATACTCTTCCGTCCCAATTTTTTTTACCTAGTTTGATTTTCATGGAGTTGAAAAATATTGATATGTATGGTTATAATTTGTTGAGATGGTGGGAAATTTATTGAGCCACATATTAATTACGGAGTACTAAAAAAGGGAATAAATAAATAATGTAAGTGAGAACTTAGTATTAGGATGCCCCAAAAGGAAAAGTATGTAAAGTTTATTTTGGTAGAATGAGTAAAAGAAAAGACTTCCATTTTAGAATTTTTATTGTTTTTTCCCCTCATTAATAACACTTTATGTATAATGTTGAAGCAGTAGTAACTAGTAAACATGATTTGGTGATTCAAGAATTTCCTTCTTTTCTGAACACCACAAGTTTACAAGCCATTTAAGCCTTCAGATACTTTTTCTCACTGGCTAGTGCATATCACATATATTTATACACATGACATTGTTCGCAGGGTGGGATGAAGGTGTTCTGACAATGCAAGTAGGAGAAGTTGCGCGCTTAACGGTAATTTCTTCGTCTTAATCGAATGAATAAAAAAGTCATTTTTTTCATCTTTAATTCACTGCATTCGGGTTGCTCATAATATTTGCAGTGCACCCCGGACTATGGCTATGGTGCTGGTGGATTTCCAGCTTGGGGCATTCAGCCCAACTCTGTTCTCGTCTTCGAGATCGAAGTCCTGGGTGCCCAATAAATTCTACTGCTTGGTTTCCTTTTTTTTTACCACTACTCTAGTAATTTAACTTGGAAAATCATCTGTTTTTTTCAACTGTGTTACAATAAACCAGACAATGGAGTTCATCAAAATGATCATGAGACACGTGTTTTAACTTGTTGGGTGTGGTTGATAATTGGTACTTAGTTTTAATTAATCATGATTAAGACATGTTGCAGTTATGGGTCATGTGTTGGTTAGGCATGCTTTGGGATTGGGACTGGGAATGGGTGGGGGGGGGGATTTAATCATGGTTTGGCACTGTTTATGCAGCACGGGCAGTACTGATGATGGGTTTCAACTTGCTGTTTATGGTCTAAAGGTTGCTTTAATGCGTCCATTTGTGAAAATGACCTCCCGGAATGGACATTATTTAAAAAAAAAAAATTAAACACTATTCGGGGGCGGGGTGGGGGTTTACTGGGGTTAGAATTCATTAATTTTATGAACAGGTCATTGTAATGATCTCGGGTCATATGAATGACATAGGGTTCTAATGTCATGAGAACCGCCTCCATTATTACTGACTTAAATTAAAGTTTAATCTTAGACTCATAAATTGTGATCTGTCGTGGTATGCGTACGTCGGAGTTGGCATTATTCATATATCTCGTTGGGCATTTTGGGTTTGTTTTAAATGCTTCGACTGGGTACCTTTAGATCAAATATGACAAAATATGTGTTTTTCACATATAGTCCCCAGGGATTGGTTATGAAATATTTTAAAATTTTTGAGGATCATGAATGTACAATAATATTTTAGAAATGTGGATTAAATGTGGAAAATTTTCTTGTTATAAAGGGTTATTTAAAGAATTATCCTAACTAAGAAGTACGGAGTACATTTTAAAACCTAAGTAAGAATAAGGGGTTTTAATAATGAATAATGTTGGATAATGGTATAGCTAAATAGCTAATGCATAATAAAAATTATAATAATAATAAAAATAATAATGGAATGGAGTGCCAAAGTCGCCATGGAGGCATGGACTCAATCATGTTTTCTTTTAAGTGGAGAATTTCCTCTCTTTTGCTTTTTCAAAAGTTTGAAAATATTCTCATTAATTTTTATATACTCATTAAAAAAAGTGTAATTTATACTATAGTTTTAAGATATAGCTAAATTTAATAAACGCCATCTGGGAGAACATGAAGTGTTTGGGATTCACACTCAAACCATATCAATTATTCCATTTATATGGAGTACAATTCATTGTAGGAGTAACAATAAAAAATGTTAAAATGACAATCTTAACTTTCTCAAACGAGTAATATATTCATTATACAAATACAAAATCAGAATATATATATTTTCGTTGACCCATTAATTTTAGCAATTTCACAATACTCTCTTTGACTTTAAGAATTCATGAATGAACAATTTAAAAAAAATCAGGGTAAGAATACAATTGTGTAAATATAAATAAAAGAATACTCCGTACGAGTAATAAATCTTTATCACACAGGTTTACTCCATAAATTTTTATTTTTAAAAATAAGTTAGTGGAAAATTCATGGATACAAAATAAGGAAAAAATAATTTTGTAAGAAAAATAAAATGAATACTAATTCCCTCAAAAAATAGACCCTCCGTCCCAATTTTAAACATATGTTCAACTTACGATGTTTGACTAAAGTTACTTTTAATTCATTCTATATGAATTTGCTGTAAAATTAAAAAAAATTACTCAGTATATATTTAAAAATTTCATCAAAAGTTTTTCAAAACGAGGCGTAGTAACATTTTTTAAAAAATTCGTAGAACATTTTTAATATAAATAAATTTTGGGTTACATATTCCTTATTGAAAAATGAGAAAATAATAAAAACAATGTGAAAATAAAAAATTAAAGTGAAATTTCAATTTGGACTGGGGTATATACTTTCCTTTATGCCAATGATAAAAGTATGTCCATTAACCCTTCAGGCCTCCTCCATCATCCTTGCCTCCTTTGTTCCCTTTCTGTCCTTCCAAAGCAGTTTTGCAGTCTTCCTCCGAGATCCCTCTCTGTAAGTTCATCTTATCATTCTATTTCTTTGCTTTACCATTTTATGCTCTTCTTGTACACTGTTGATGGTTCTTCTGAACCTTTAGCCGTTTTTCCCAGAAAAATCCCTTTGGGTTTGTCTGGTAAATCTACGAATCTGATGGATTTTACTCATTCAAATCTATTTTAAAAATTCATTTCTGGGTTCTTCTTTGTGATTCCATCTTTTCTGCCATTTCTCTTCTTTGTGATTTTGTTTGTGTGTGTGTGTTTTTTTTTTTTTTTGAATTTCTTGAAAACCCTAATAAATTGACTGTGAGGAGAATTAGATCATAGCCCGTTTGGTTGTTTCTTACCAGTTAGCAAAGAACTTTCTCAGCCATGAAGCTTCATCTTGCCCACTCCATTTTTTTTTTAATTAATTGGGAAAGTACAGCTTTTTGTGTTAACCAAACATACTCTTAGTTATATATTGTAATTATTCAGTCATCAGTTAAATAACTCATCTGTTCTTTTGTAAACTTTCCAGGCAAAGCTTAGTTTGGCATTGTGTGAAAAGGGTATAAAGCTGTGTACAAATCAGTGAACAAAACATGAGGTGGCTCGGCCTCCCGATTCACGTGTTCTGTTATGTTATCTCCTTGAACTTATTCTGCAGGGTGATTTTGTAAAAGAAAACTCATTTATTCCGCGTAAACTATTCTAAACCAATAGTCTCTCATCACTATAACTGTCTGATCATCCATGGATCCCCATCACCTATACTTCTCTGCTTGTTATATCTACATGATTAGCTAAAACCTGAAATTGTAGCCTTTGGGTTTTCCACTTCTTGTTTGAGTTTTTGCTGCCCACCCGTTTCATCAAAAAATTGATCTTTTGTCGTCTTCTTTGACCACCCCTTCTATTGGAGTTATTACTGCCCACCCATTTCATAAAGACTTGGTCTTTTGGTTTCTTTTTTGACCACCCATTTTATTGGAGTTTTTACTGCCCACACTTTGCATAAAGAATTGATCTTTAGGTGTCTTGTTTGATCACCCCTTCTATTTGAGCTTCAAACAGGCATCACGGTTTCATTCTTCTTAAGCTGATTTGAAAAGATTGAAAGAAGTTATGGTGTGCCAAGCGGCAAGTCAGACAAATTTTCGGGCCTTAAAACACGAGAGTGGGATTCCTGGACGAGCAACCATTGTAGTTAGAGTCATAGCATGCTTCCAACCTTTGCAGAATTGCCAGGTTTGTGTCCATTAAAATTATCTTGCATTTGTTCATTTATCTGATTATTACTTGAAATGACATTAATGTTTTTCCCCACTTTTTCATTTTTTTTACCAGGCCGAGTACTTCCGCCAGTTGCTTAAACCCGTCACGTAGATTATCTCTGTGCTTCCATTTTTGTGCTAACTTTGAAAGTTTTATTATTATTTTTCTTTATTTTATCTTTTGTTGAAATTTGCATCGGTACCCGGACCACAAGCATCAATCTTCGCACGGTATGATGTCCGATTCTTTGTTACACTTTCTTGATTAGTATTGAAAAATGTGTAAGATAAATGTCCATACTTCAACAAAAGTTCAACCGTGTTCATTGTTCAAGTCGCAAATGTCTTGCTGACCAAATATTATTATGGATTTTAGTCTCAGTCTCAAAGATTGACATTAAATTGCAGGTGTTAAACTTGACTGAATGGTTACGGGCAGCGTACCACAGCCACCTTACTCGCAGTTTCCTGCATGGAATCCAAACCATGTATCTGCCCTCTTACAGCTCGGGCAGCCGGTTAATCTGCCCTTTTTTGCAGATCCTTTTCCATTCACCCCTGTTTCTCAAGGGGTTTCGACTCTGCTCCATGGCTCTTCTTGTGATCAAGAAGCAACTCGGCAATATCAGAGAGAAGAAGCTCAATATCCCATTGCAGGGAGAAAAAGACATGTTACGGCACTTGATGGCTCTTCTCAGAAAAAAATTCTGATATTCGACCAGTCTGGGGATCAAACTAGGTTGTTCTTCGGTCCTTCCTTCTGTCAGAAGGACCAGAAAACATTCCATGATTACAACAAGAACAACAATCATCTGAAACACATTGTTGAAGAACAGCAGAATATGAATGTGACCCCTCAGAGTAGCTGTAAAGAAAGGGAATATTCCGAAGATATTGATGCCTTACTATACTCAGACAGCGATGACGAAGAAGACGATGATGTCACTAGCACGGGTCACTCCCCATGCATAGATGATCATCATCACAAGCAATACACTGAAATCACAGATGAAGAAGGTGTTGCCAGCTCCGATGATATCCGTTCTTCAAAAAGGCAAAGACTGCATGATGATGATGACGAGAACTCATTTACTGACGCTGTAAAATTGACAAAACTGCCTTTAACCCGCGGTAAAAAACACGACGAAGAGGGGTTGGGTTGTTCTAATCACACCCCAGATGACCAAAACAACCCAGTAAAGTCCCACAAAACTGCAGGTTCTGGGGAAGGGGAGGGTACCCTATGTAGAGAGGCTGTTTCCAAGAGATCTTCAGCTAAGGGCAACAACCCAGATGAAAGCCATGAAAATGGCGAGGATAAAAAGGTCAGAATCCAGAAAACTCTGAGGATCTTGAGGGGTTTGATTGTGGGTGTGAACAGTGATGACCCTTTGGTGGTCATAGATGAGGCAATTAGTTACCTCAAGCTTTTGAGGATGAAAGTGAAAAGAAGATATGGAGGGGGGGAAAGTTCAAACCTTTGACTTGTTGACCAAAGGGAGATGATTAAAGGCGTGTTTGGTGGCATGTTTAACGGTGGTGGGTGATTGAGTGCATGCGTGTATTATGGGGGTCCCACAACTCCTCCATTTGTAGATGAAAAAGGAAAGCCATTAATCAAATCTTGTCTTCAAGTCTGTTTTTTTTTTTTGATAAATAAATGTATTGTTTAAAGTTTGGCGTGCTGTGTTTTTTTAGGAGAGTTGATGTGTTATGGGACCCACTTTGTGTTGGGTTGCTATGATTATATCACTCATATTACTCTATTTGTGGTATGTATTTGTATTTGTATTTGTGATGAATTATTACTCCTTGTTTCTTTGTTATTTTAAATACTCTCTTTATTTTTCATTTCTTTTTAAATTTATGCAGAACAAATAAAATTAAGATGAAATACTCACTATTTTTAAAGTGAATATAGATTTTATTTTGAGGCATGCAAAAAGAATGGTAGATGATAAATTTATTTCGAGATAGAAATAGTGGAAGTAAATATTTTTTTATTTGGTGCAGCCAATATCACAATCTTGTCATTAAATTAAATAAAGAAAAAAATTAATATTGCGGAGATTTAGAAAGATGTTAAAACAGTAAAAGTTTTTTTTTTTGGACTGAAAAAGCAGTAAAAGTATGAGATCAACATTTGTTTAAAGAAGAAAGAAGATTGAGAGTGCATATACATGTTACATCCCTTAAAAAGAAATCTAAGGTTTATTTGGAACAACAAATAAAAAGTGAAATTTATTTTAGCAGAGGAATGTATTACTCGTTTTGTCCTGAAATTGATTATAATTTTTTTTTTTGGAGATTTACCACTTGATAAGTTTTGTTTGATCATTTTTGTATTTTCTATGATTATTTGATAAAATAAAATATTATTCTAACTTCTTATTTGTTAGAATTTTCAACATAATTTTTACTATGTAAATTTTACTAATTATTCTTATACCATTTTTTTAAATAAATTGTTTTTAAAAATACTCCCTCCGTCTCTAGATGGTTTACATAATTTACTATTAAAAAATCGTGGGAATTTTTGTTTATTTTTTGTGTTTTCATTGACTATTTGAAGAAATAAAATATTCTTGTCACCTCTTATTTTGTAAAACTTTTGATGTAATTTTTAAATATGTAAGTTTTATTTTTATTTATATACCAATCTTTAAATAAAATAAATTAAAAACCTTAGATCTTACTTCATTTTGTTAAAAAAAATAAATGATTTAAGGATGAAATGAGTACAAAATTTTTCTCACGGATACAAAATTGTAATCTAATTTGAGTAGATCGATTATTACCCATATTGCATTGGGAACAATAATGCATTCCTAGCTGTAGTGTATACACGCACGCACAATTTGTCTTGCTCCAAATGAGAGCGTGGGGTATAGATGTCTTTTGCTCTTATGGGACTATATTTAGGAGAAAAAAAGTTGTTAGGGACAAAATAAGGCAGAAAATATTTAATAAAGTTATTTTAATATATTAATATAAAATATAATTTTATTTATTTATTAATAAAAGTATGCTAGTTTAAGTACAAAAATAAACTTGACAAATACTTGAGACATAAGAAGTACGGAGTACATTATACTCCCTCCGTCCAAAAAAGATGTTCCCGGTTTGACCCGGCACGCACTTTAAGAAAAGTTGAAATTGTCTTTGACTTTCCCATATTACCCTTATGCCTACTCTCTTCCGATCCTCAATCCTCACTTCCTTCTGTGAACCCTCATACATCTCCTTCAATCATTATTACCACAAAAATTAACTTTCTTACACATAAAATTAAATTGAAGAATTGGGGAAATCTGGGAAATTTATAGTTAGAACTATGAACAAATATGGGAAGCTTTGGGAAAAAAGAAAAATTAAATGGGCGGAGGTGATGGAGATTATACTACATTAGACCTGTCCGGATCCGGCCGCCACACACCTCCGACCACCGCCTCGGTTTTCCGGTGCTCCCAATCTTGGGTGACGGGAAAAAATAAGAAGGGGAGACATTAGATCTGTTCGGATCCGGCCGCCACACCCCTGACCACCGCCTCGATTTTCCGCTGCCGGCTGCTCCCAATCTTGGGTGACGGAACAAATTAAGAAGGGGAGGAAAAAGAAAAGAAAAAAGAAGAAGAAGAAGAA